ATGTAATGACAAAGTGTACATAATGCCATTGATAAATGAAATGGACAAAGTGTACACAATCACATTGATAAATGTAATGACAAAGTGTACATAATGACATTGATAAATGAAATGACAAAGTGTACATAACAGCATTGATAAATGTAATGACATAGTGTACATAATGACATTGATAAATGTAATGACAAAGTGTTCATAATGACATTGATAGATGTAATAACAAAGTGTACACAATCACATTGATAAATGTAATGACAAAGTGTACATAATGACATTGATAAATGAAATGACAAAGTGTACATAACAGCATTGATAAATGTAATGACATAGTGTACATAATGACATTGATAAATGTAATAACAAAGTGTACATAATGACATTGATAGATGTAATGACAAAGTGTACATAATGACATTGATAAGATGTAATGAACAAAAGTGTGCATAATGATATTGTTAAATGTAATAACAAAGTGTACATAATGACATTGACAAATGCAATGAACAAAGTGTACATAATGACATTGATAAATGTAATGACAAAGTATGCATAATGACATTGATAAATGTAATGACAAATGTATGCATAATGACATTGATAAATGTAATGACAAAAGTGTACATAATGACATTGATAAATGTAATGACAAAATGTACATAATGACATTGATAAATGTAATGACAAAGTGTACATAATGACATTGATAAAGGTAATGACAAAGTGTACATAATGACATTGATAAATGTAATGAACAAAAGTGTACATAATGACATTGATAAATGTAATGACAAAATGTACATAATGACATTGATAAATGTAATGAACAAAGTGTACATAATGACATTGATAAATGTAATGACAGTGTACATAATGACATTGATAAATGTAATGACAACGTGTACATAATGACATTGATAAATGAAATGGACAAAGTGTACACAATGACATTGATAAATGTAATGACAAAGTGTACATGGTACAATTGATAAATGTAATGACAAAGTGTACACAATGACATTGATAAATGTAATGACGTAGTGACATTGATAAATGTAATGACAAAGTGTACATAATGGCATTGATAAATGTAATGACAAAGTGTACATGGTACCATTGATAAATGTAATGACAAAGTGTACACAATGACATTGATAAATGTAATGACGTAGTGACATTGATAAATGTAATGACAAAGTGTACATAATGGCATTGATAAATGTAATGGCAAAGTGTACATAATGACATTGATAAATGTAATGACAAAGTGTACATAATGACATTGATAAATGTAATGACAAAGTGTACATAATGACATTGATAAATGAAATGGACAAAGTGTACACAATGACATTGATAAATGTAATGACAAAGTGTACATAGTGACATTGATAAATGTAATGACAAAGTGTACACAATGACATTGATAAATGTAATGACAAAGTGTACACAATGACATTGATAAATGTAATTACAAAGTGTACATAGTGACATTGATAAATGTAATGACAAAGTGTACACAATGACATTGATAAATGTAATGACAAAGTGTACATAATGACATTGATAGATGTAATGACGTAGTGACATTGATAGATGTAATGACGTAGTGACATTGATAGATGTAATGACATAGTGACATTGATAAATGTAATGACAAAGTGTAGAAAATATTATGATTATATTAAATGTAATGACAAAGTGTTAGAAAGTGTAACTTCACTGATAAATGTAGTGATGTACTAACCAGTTCTTTCACAAGTGAAAAAATATTTTTAGGTGTATGTTTGTGGTGTGATTTTGTGATCATCTCACAAATCACAACCCCTTCATTTTATCGCTTCTTGTATAAATTGATTATGTTTGTTTGTGCTAATAGATACTTTTAAGAGACTATAAATTGAGGTCATACACACTCAATGCGGTCAGTTTTCATTTTCTACAAGAACAAAAAGAGGATGTTCAGCATTCTATCATCACTGATTTACAGGTATTGTCTTAATCTTTCATTATGTCATAGTTTAAGTTGACTGCCCTCAGTGTTGGAGATAAACGAAAAATCATCAAAATACAGATAAAAATTCTTGTGATCTACAGACATATTTTTCACTCGAAGTCATACAGAGTGAACACATTTGGTGTACTGTACTAAAAAAACTTCCTTACTTTACTGGAAAGAACTTATGAAAATTATACGCCGACCATATGTGTGGAATGTACTGAAAATTGGCATCACATTATCAAATCATCACTGTCCATGTAGTCTTGAGAAAACTCTGGTAGATGACGGAAACATTTTAAAACTACATTTTACTTCATGTATGTAGGAATTGTTCAGTCTCAACACACTAATTGATTACAGTACATTGATGAGGGCAGATTCATACTTGCTATAATAATTTTTACCACATGATATTTAAATTGCCTGTTTATAAGTCATGTGATAATTTATTCTTTTTCTTCAGAATGGAAATGAACAAACAAGAAGGCGACTTGCTGTGTACTGTTTAAAAGATGCCATGTTGCCACTGAGATTGCTGGAAAAACTGATGTGTGTAATTAATTACATGGAGATGGCCAGAGTAACTGGTGTACCACTCAGTTATTTACTATCTAAGAGGTCAACAAATTAAAGTAGTCTCACAGTTGCTGAGAAAGGTAAATATATAGTGTC